GTGATGAACATCTTCCATGCAGAGCTTAAGAAGGTGTTTGTGATACCTTAAAACAGCGGTTCTCAACCTGTGGTTCTCAACCCCTTTGGGGATCGAACGACCCTTTCACAGGGGTCGCCTAAGACCATTGGAAAACACATATATAATTACATATTGTTTTTGCGATTAATCACTATGCTTTAATTATGTCCAATTTGTAACAATGAAAAACATCCCCACCACAACATGAGGAACTGTATTAAAGGGTGGCGGCATTAGGAAGGTTGAGAACCACTGGCCTAGAGGGAAAAAGCAAGTACCTGGAATCCTAGCTTGGGGCAAGATGGCTGCTGACTATCTTTCTCCTGTGTAAGGATTCTGAACAACCTAGCATATCGGGTAAATGGCCTCCACGGCTTTGCTGGCACATAAGCACTCTTTTGTTGAAATTTTCCATGCCCGTTTTGCATAAATGTGGCTGAATTTTGATGAGGCTCATTTTCATCTTGATGGCTTGGTTAATCGACAAAATTGTCGCATTTGGGGTTCAGAAAATCCACGAGTGATTGTTGAGAAACAAATGCATCCACAACGTGTCACTGTTTGGTGCGGATTTTGGGCTGGAGGCATCATCAGACCATTCTTCTTCCAAAATTGTGGCAGCTCAGGCAATAACAAAAGAGTGCGTATGTGCCAGCAAAGCCATGGAGGCCATTTACCCGATATGCTATTCCATACATAACCCTATACTATATATTTTATGAATCAATAAAAAATTTACAATTTTTAATTATAAACCTGTGATTTCTATCAAAATTGGTTCTTGTGTGAATTTTGGGACACCCTTTATAAGTATTGCTATCCCAACTTTTCTTTTCATTTCCAATGAATGAAATTTCCATCTCTTTACCTTCCATTTGTGTCTTTTTTCTGAGATGGGTCTTTTGTAGGCAGCATCTATATGGGTCTTGTTTTCTCATCCATTCAGTTGTTCTGTGTCTTTTTAATGGAACATTTAATCCTTCACATTTAAAGTGATTATTGATAAATACATTCTTATTATCATTTTATTCTTTATAATTGTGTTTCTCTTTTTTCTTTCTGTTAAAGCAGCCTCTAACATTTTGTATAATACTGGTTTGATGGTAATGAAGTCCTTTAGCATTTTATTTTCTGGGAAGCTCTTTATTTCTCCTTCAATCTATACTAATAAAAGCATAATATGCTCATTAGACCGGACAGCCAAACGACCTTCTGGACGTCATTCCGGACAAAGCTGTGGTGGCAGGGGTGAGGCAGAGGTGGTTAGGGGCATCAGGCTGGCAGGCAGAGGCAGTTAGGGGTGATCCCCATTTTTTTAAAAAAATTCCTTTTCCTTTTTGCTGCTTTGATTGTTTTTTGCTACCTTGTCTTCCAAATCACTGATTTGATCCTCTGATTCATCTAACCTACTATTAATCCTTTCTATTGTATTCTTCATTTCAGATATTTTATTCTTCATTTCTGACTGCTTCTGTTTTATGGTTTCTTGTCCCTTTTAATGCTTACTGTCTCTTTGTTTAAGTTCTCACTATATTCATTCATTCTTCCACTAAGTTCCCTGAGCATCCTTATAACCATTGTTTTGAACTATGTATCTGGTAGATTGCTTTCCTCCATTTCATTTCATTCTTTTTCTGGGGATTTCTCCTGTTCTTTCACATGAGGCATGTTCCTTTGTCTTCCCACTTTGGCTGCCTCTCTGTATTTGCTTCTGTGTATTAGGTAGATCTTCTATGTCTCCCAGTCTTGATATGGTGGCCTTTTGTAATAGGGGTCTTGTGGAGCTCAGTGGCACAATCTCCCTGAATTAGGTGCTCCAGGAATATCCCTTGTATGGATTATGTGAGCCCTCTTATTGTACTTAAGTCTTCATTGCTTTTGCCCCATTCAAGGGTGGGGCCAACCCTCAGGCTGGCTGACTATGAGGATTGACCCTAACTGCAGGGGCTGACCCCAGGAAGTAGAATTTGCTCCATCAAGGTCTTGTGCCTGCCAGGATCTTGCTGTGGGTGTGCCTCTTGTGGAGCTAATTGGGTCATGCTCTGATGTGGTCTGAAGCCCACCACTAGGTGTATTAGTTCTAGGGTCTCTTAGGAAGGATTCTGGTTTAGGTCAATGTCAGATGCCCTTTGTAAAGAGCCCTGAGCTACCTATTTGGAGCTACAGAGTGACCCACTGTTAATGGCTGCCTCTACTGGGCTTGGGTACAAATGGAGAGTCCAAAGTACACACCAAGACCAGTTTCTAGCAGCACCAAGCCAGGGGCAGGTCATCAAAAGGCCCACAAAACTCTAACATCTGTCTCCATCTATTAGGCTTAATCACTGAAAGGGCCTCTGGCGGTATGTGAGTTGCATGAGGTGGGTTCTCAGTGAGTCACCAGGTAGGAGTGAGTGGTATTCACCAGGCTGATGCAGATTCACCAAACTTGGCACCAGTGCTGGGTCTGAGGCCACTCAGAAAAAGTTTCAAGGTATACCAAGTCTAGCTGCCACCCACCAGGGGTTTGCAGACCTTTGTGGTAGGGTAGGGTCTCAGGGAGTTGTCAGGGCGAGGCCAGCAGGATCATTAGGTTAAAACAGACCGATATTTGGTCGTGTCAAGGGAGGTCTCTGCACAGAAATGGTGGTGCCAGTGCACAAGAGAAAAATGGCCCTTGTCTGTGCCACCCCTGAGCCTGCCCCAACTTCCTCGAGAGCCTTCTTTTTTTTTTTTCTCAATGTCTCCCCATTCACAATACAGACCAGGCAAAGAGCCTGAGCTGAGGTGTATATGGGGTAAGTTTACTCTGCCTCCTATTTCTGTACAGTCAGTGTAAGAACACAGCCTGTGGTAAGCACCAGGAGGCCCCTCGAAAGCCTTCTAAGAAAGGCTGCACCATGGGCCCAGGATGGCGTCATCCAGCTGACTCCACAGCCCAGGCCCACAGTGAGCTGGAAGGATGAGGCTAGTGGATCTCCCATGGGGGGAAAATGATCCTCACCCTAGTCACAAACTTAGTCTTTTCCTGTGTGTCTCTGAACCCTGAGTCCACCAGACCTCCTTAAGAGACCTCCAAGAAAGTCTGCACCATGAGTCCAGACTGACAACAGCCAGCAGACTCCTCAGGGAGAGAGCTTGGAACTGCAAGGTCACAGGGAGTCAGGAGGGTGGGGTTAATGCCTTCCTTCAGGCCAGCGGTTATCAACCTGTTATCAACCCCTTTGGCAGTCAAATGACCCTTTCACAGGGTCGCCTAAGACCATCCTGCATATCAGATATTTACATTATGATTCATAACAGTAGCAACATTACAGTTATGAAGCAGCAACAAAAATAATGTTATGGTTGGGTCACAACATAAGGAACTATATTTAAAGAGCCAGAAGGTTGAGAACCACTGCCTTAGGCTGATGCAGTATGGAGAGGAGTGCTCGACCCGGGAAAGATGGTGTCAGTGTGTGGTGTGGGTGAGGACTCAACTAAAGGGACCAGAGCAGCTGTACCTTTAGCCTTCTTCCTGAAGCTACAAACCTTCTTCGTCACCTTCCCTCTGCCAGAGCCCATGGTGCGTGGCTACAGATGAGATTTTGTGCACTGGTCCTTTAGGAGGGCCCCTGGTTTCCTAGCAGATTCTTGTCTCTTCCAGATTTTCACAGCCACATAGTGTGTGAGCTCCTCTTTCCAGCTCTGGTGCTCCAGGCTAAGGAGACTGGCATGGGGTTGAGACCATTGCTCTGAAGGGGGAAGCCCCCGCAACTGAGATATCCCTCCAGACTCTCAGCCGCCACCAGTGGCAGCGGGGCCAGCCCTTTTCATGTCTCCCTCCTCCCTACCAGTCTCAATGTGGATTCTTCTGTAAATCCTTGGTTCTAAGATGTCTGTTCAGCTAGTCTTCAGTTGGTTATTCAGGTTAATTGTTCTATCATTTAGTTGTAATTTCAGTTTGGTCCTGGGAGGAGGTGCTATCTTGGATCTCTGATAACTTTCAATTTATTCAAATGTCTACACTTTTGTTACCTTTTTAGTTAGGCATTTAAACAAAATACAAAATTCAGGTTCATTGCTCCTCTTTTTAAATGTGGGCATTCTTATTCCTGTGAAATTATACACACACACACACACACACACACACACACATATGTCTGTGGAGGGGAGGAGTGAGGGAATTTTATTTCTCTATAAATTGTAGATTTTCTTTGTTATCAAAGGGTTTTACTTCCAGCATATGCAGGCCCTCTTTTATTCATTCCCCCACTAACAATTTAAATGTCTGTCTCCTTTACTGGGAATTTTTTTGAAAGAATCTCTGTTTCTCTTAAGACCTGGAATACATGGGCAATGTAGACAAATTCTTGTTGAATTTCATTACATACCCAGGGGCATTTTTTACCTTAAAATGTACCTGCTTGTCAAAGGAAGTACCTTTGTGTCTTCCCACTCTCCTACCCCCACTAATCCTAGAAATGCCCTAATAAAATTTGCAACCATGTTGCTGAAACCGGTTTGGCTCAGTGGATAGAGCGTCGGCGTGCGGACTGTAAGGTCCTGGGTTCGATTCCGGTCAAGGGCATGTACCTGGGTTGCGGGCACATCCCCAGTAGGAGATGTGCAGAAGGCAGCTAATCGATGTTTCTCTCTAATCGATGTTTCTAACTCTCTATATCTCTCCCTTCCTCTCTCGAAAAACTCAATAAAATATATTTAAAAAAAAAATTTGCAACCATGTTAAAGTCAACTTTTTTGCAAGAAGAGAGTGAAAACTGAAATATCCACCTGAATAATTTTTCTTGATTAATTTAAACAAGGTTGCTTTAAAGTTCCCTCTTTCATCATTTTATACTATTAATATCTTTATCTGAAGGATGATTTTATAAGTTAATTATTCCTGTCCTGAATGAAAATTAATTTTTGTTAGAATAAGTATACATGGTAAAACTTCACAAGGTCATCTCTTTTTTTTTTTTTTATGTAATCCTCTCAATTTTTCTTTTAAATAGGAACTTAGCTTGGAACAAAATTGCCATTATTCACCCCAGTGCATTTTCTACTTTGCCATCTCTAAGAAAGCTGTGAGTATTTTATTACTTGTTTATGGCTGCTCTCTTCATAATCAGGGGCTGTCTAAGCCTGCAGTGCACAGATTGCCCACCCTCAGTGTTTCCCACACTAGAGCTCTATCAGACCAGAGAGGAGCCCCCTACCCCGCCAAGGCCATGTAGGCCATATGTGCATAACTGAAGGTCTGGGTGACAGCTGTTCTCATTACTGAGGTGAAATTTTCCATTTTTGCTGAGCGATCAGGAGGACTGGAATAGCTATCAACTCAGTTCTAAAGGGCTTTGGTTTTATAGTTGGCCATCTTGACTAATAAAAAACCTTTGTCTCTTTTTCTCCCTCCCACCCCCCTTTCCTCCTCTCCCTCTTTCCTCCCTCCGCCTCCCTTCTCTAATAGAGAAAGGAGGAATTGGTCAGACAGAAGTTAAGAGGAGAAGAAGGAAAATACATACCCAACCACATTGTCCCCCTCATCCCTAACGTAATCCCATCAGCATCACTTTTCAAAGTAGATGCAGCACCTGCCCCTTCATCTGGTCTATCCCCCTCTTTAGCAAACCCAAGCTGAATATAGAAATTCCAATTTGGATGTGATTAAAACATTCCCCCGTGCAACTCTGACTGTGAAAAGTAACCAAAATGTTTAATTTTACCATTACAAGTGAGAACCCTTCTTAGAAGTTTTTATGGAACAGTGTAATAAGCCTTAGGTTGCTTTTTGACGTAAACGTTTTATGCTAACCACGGACTAAAAGCCCATTGTTGTTTGATGTTTTGCAGGGACCTATCGTCCAACCGCCTGTCGTCTTTTCCTGTAACTGGGTTACATGGTTTAACTCACTTAAAATTAACAGGAAATCATGCCTTACAGAGCTTGATATCATCTGAAAACTTTCCAGAACTCAAGTGAGTTTGTCATTAAAACTAATAAGATACATTTGTGGTCATGTGAAATAACAGGCGTGTTACAGTGGTTTTCAAAATTTATGAGGTCATGGGACACTATTGAATTGCATTGCATGCCCTCCAGGCCCTAACCCTGGGGCTCTGTCAGGACAAGCCCCGAGGTGGGAGAACGGGTCTTCCTGGCCACATTTCCTGTTTCCCAAAGTCGCCTCCCAGAATCATTGAGGTCATGGAAAGATTTGAAAACCATTGATCCATGGGATAAAAACTTGGTCATATAATTCAATAACATTATAACATTATGTACTTCTGTTTACATTTTTAAATACCTCTAGCTTGTATATGTGTCCTAACAAAATTTATGAAGTTAATATTTTCTTGAGGAAGTAATGCTCTTTAAAACCTGTTATGCTTATTATCGATAAAGAGGTCCCTTGAAAGATTATTTATATACATGTATTTTTTCATCAAATTATACTTTTTATATACTTTTAAAACCAGAACACCAAAAGAGAGTTTGGAAACTGAAAGAGGGGGAAAAAATATAAAAGTGCCCCCTAAACAGCTTTTTATGTTATTTCCTCTTAGACTATGTTTCCAATGTATTTTTAATTGTTAGAATCATAGTACATATACAAACTTTTATGTTTTCATCACTTAATATATTTTCATACCATAAGCACCTTTTTAAAAAAAAAACACATATTTTTATCGATTTCAGAGAGGAAAGTAGAGGGAGAGAGAGATAAAAACATCAATGATGAGAGAAAATCACTGATTGGCTGCTTCCTGCACACCCCCTACTGGGGACTGAGCCCACAACCAGGAGATATACCCTGACCAGAAATCGAACTGTGACCTCCTGGTTCATAAGTTGACACTCAACCACTGAGCCACCATGGTCAGGCCCATAAGCACCTTTTAATGGTGCTACAATTTTCCTAGCAGTCATTTTTTAACCTTTTTATTATGGAAGTTTTTAAACACAAAATAGAGAAAATAATATACCTGTCACTCAACCTCAGCAATTATTAACATTTCATAGCAATAATTTTAATAACTCCATTGTTATTATAAATAACACTGTAATAAAACCTCTTTGCACATAGTTAATATTTTAGATTATTTATTAAGGCTAAAACCCAAAATCAGAGTTATTGAGTGAAAGAAAACGAACACTATTTTACATTTCACTTCTTTAAGTGTATGTTTTTTTCTTTGGTTTTATTCAGGGTTATAGAAATGCCTTATGCTTACCAGTGCTGTGCATTTGGAGTGTGTGAAAATGTTTATAAAATTTCTAATCAATGGAATAAAGGTGACAACAGCAGTACAGATGATCTTCATAAGAAAGATGCTGGAATGTTTCAAGTTCAAGGTAAGACCAGCTGTTCCAGTGATGAAATTGTGTCTGGAAAGGTCTTGAAAAGTCATCAGACAGATCTTCTAAACTCCAGACACTTCCCTATGTAACCATCCCAGCAAGTTGGGAGTCCATCCCACTTTGAGACTCCCAGAGAAAGAGAAAGGTCCTTGGGTATTCATTCTAAAACTTCATCTTTTCTATACGTGAATTTTTTAAAATATATTTTATTGATTTTACAGAGAGGAAGGGAGAGGGATAGAGAGTTAGAAACATCGATCAGCTGCCTCCTGCACACTACCTACTGGGGATGTGCCTGAAACCAAGGTACATGCCCTTGACCGGAATCAAACCTGGGACCCTTTAATCCTCAGGCCGACACTCTATCCAGTGGGCCAAACCAGCTAGGGCTGTATGTGAATTTTTAATTCTTATGCTTATTACATCTTCCTTAGCATATATTGTATAAATTGGGGTAATTATTAATATTCATATTGATATTTCCATAAACTTTTAAAAGGGCTGCATCTTTGTGGATATGTTTCTCAAGCATGCTTCTGGGCTCTTTTCTCTAGAAGATAGAATCTGTTTTCATTCTTATGTGGAGGATATGGGCATTTTAGATGCCTCCATATTTCGGCAGGAAGGGCTTAAGAACCCAACCTCTTATCTAACTAATTCCAAAACATTCTCCCCTGCTTCCCCCACAGGGGTATCTGTCAGGAAGGTGAAATGAGATCATGTCTGTGAAGCACTTGGCTTTCCTTGAAGACCTTACTTAAAGAGGCAACAATGCACCTCAAACCACACCTGTGGTAATGAGGAGGCGCTCTGGGCAGCCCCAATTTTCCTTCCCCTGCCAACTTTGCATGTTTGCGCAGATTCTAAACAGACTGGCTTTTCTTCCTCTGAATGATTTGTTGATTCCACGCAAGTATGATTCAGTCTGTCTGCACAAAGCCCTCACATTTCCTCCTGCTCATCGGTTTAAGGAGCCGATATCTTGCCCCTCCGCCTTTTTGTTCTAGGCCACAGTATGTGTCTTGCACTTGTCCTTGCTTTAGTTTTTGCTCTTAAAAAAAAACAAAGTAAAACCATTAGAGTGCCTACTATGTGCCAGGCCGTGTTCTAGGCCCGAGATGTGCACAATGAGCAAGAGGCACCAGGCTCTTCATGGAGTTTATTTTCAAAGAAGTGATTCTCAACCCTGGGCCAGGAATCACATGGGGGCTTTTTAAAAACACTCACGCCCGCCCTCGCCAGATCAATGAAATCGGCCTCTTTGGGGAAGTGTGTTAGATCACAGAATTCCTGTGTCGTGGCTGCCTAAACCAAGCGCCATCCAAGAGCACAGCCCAGAACATGTGCACTATAGCTATCGAAGTGTTAGAAAATTGGATGAAGTGGTTCTTCCACTGGAAAGGTCCAATTTTTGAAAGCGATGTGGTTAAAACAAATACTAGTTTATACATATAAATAAAAAATATCTCTCTAATTTAGGTCTGTGCAATTTGGGGACATCACGAGCTCCAGGAACAAGAACAAAATGAGAGAGCTCAGATGTTATGACCGGGAGCCTGAGGTTAATTCCCTCCCCCCGGTTTTGCTGGAATACTGTATCACATAGCAGCTTGAGGAAAACATCCACAGGCAACTTTATCGTTGACTCTTAAGGAAGCCAGAGCCCAGAAAAGAGCAGGATGTCTGACCTCCCGGCTCCTTTGTGACACAACATGTTCAAGGGCAAGCCTCCCTGGTATTTGGTCCCCTGGAAAGAGAGAGAGGACTAATCACCCCAGGACTTCTCATTCCTGCAGATGAGCGTGATCTTGAAGATTTGCTGCTTGACTTTGAGGAAGACCTGAAAGCCCTCCATTCGGTGCAATGCTCACCTTCCCCAGGTGAGCCAGAGGCCAGAACGGCCTTAGCAGCAATCCCCACCATTGACTCTGAGGCTGGCAATAACGTGGCTACACTTCAAAGCAAGATCTGTGCCACGTCTGCATCTCCTCAGTGTCCCTCCCCACGGATTGGAGTTGGTCTCCATTCATAAACAAGATTTTTGAGGGAGACTTCTGATTCAGGTTAATGGAAGCTGTAGCGAGAAGCACATGTAACTTTTAACATGATATTATCAGTTTAGCCTAAACTAGTATGCGACCGTCTTGCTTCCCGTAATCGCTGATTTTTTTAAAGGGGTTTCTTTTAAGTCTTCCCTAAGTAGCTATTTGGTTAAAACAAATAATGGCTTATACATACAAGTAAAAAATATCTGTATATGTGGACTTCATAAATGGTCCCATTCCCAGAAACAGGATGGACCAGTTGGAAAAAAGATAGGTGGGAAGCTTAACATTTTATTTTCACCAATTAGAATGTCCCTTGCTCTCAAACATCAAATGCCATTCTAAACCCAAGACGAGATGTTCAAGAAACATGCCTTCGTATTATTCATACTTCCTCTTCTAATATTATGGAGTATTTCCCCCGGTTTCCCCTCTCTGATTACAGAATCTTCTTGAAGCATTCTGGAAAGGCGGCTGGACAGGGGCGGGGGGGTGGGATGAGAGGACACCATAATGAAAAGCCCAGGAGACCTGGCTTTTTACCTGGCCCAACACTGCCGTATTCGGGGGACCTTAATGAAAGTGATTTCAATTCCCCATCCGCATGTCTGTGTGCAGCTTGAAAACATGAGCACTTGGTGTGCTGACGCCCTGGGTGCCGCGGAAGGCGGTAATGGCAGTGGTTGAAGAATGTGCCACAAAGAAACAGTGTGTTACTGTGGCTGCTACTGGCCACTCTCTTTGGTGTCCTAATAAAAGAAACAAAGAGGTCATTTGGCAAAAGTTGCAAGCTGTCGTTTGATACCCAGTCTTTTCCTTCCTTGGATTTGCAGGCCCCTTCAAACTCTGTGAGTACCTGTTCGGGAGCTGGCTGATCAGAATTGGAGTGTGGACCATTGCGGTGCTGGCCCTCACTTGCAACGCCTTGGTGACGTCCACGGTGTTCCGAGCCCCTCTGTACATTTCCTCCATAAAACTGCTCATCGGGTTGATAGCGGCGGTGAACATGCTCATGGGCGTCGCCAGCGCCGTGCTGGCCGGCGTGGACGCGGTCACCTTCGGCAGCTT